TCGAAACAGATAAGAACACCAAGAAGCAAGATAAGTCTCAAAATACATCCAATGCTAAGGTGACAAATAACACGTCCAATAAAAATCCACAAAAGAAGGGCAATAAACGTGTTGCACCAGAGTTTCCACCACCCACAAATAATCCCAAGAAGCCCAAATTGGAAACTTCAACAACACCGGCGAACAATAAAACAAAGAAATCGAAGAACAAAAAGTCATCACAAAAGAAGTTGTCTTCCCACACCGATGATAGCCATTTGGATACAAATAATATGTCTGGTTTTGTTGGTGGTGGCGATTTTGATTCGAAATATGGTGACTATTCTGGTGATGCATATTGGCAGCAACAATATGCAAATAATTTCAATGATTCCGATTTAGATGATGACGATATGATGAATGATGGAGAGAATAGCCAAGAAGTTGAAAACTTTAATGGTTATGGTGGACAAAATGATTCGGATGACGACAATGATGATCCCTATAATTATAGTGGTGTAGATGATTCGGAAGACGACGATCCCTATAATTATAGTGGCATAGATGATTCGGAAGACGACGATCCCTATAATTACAGTGGTATAGATGGTTCGGAGGACGATGCAGATAATGATCCCTATGCATATAGTAATTACGAAGATGAGGATGATGTTGGCTGTGATGATCCTTATGACTATAGTGATTTGGATGATGAATGCGAAATGGAGGAGGAAGACGATTCTGACGAAGAACACTACTCAGATTTTGATGAAGATGATTATGAAGAAGATGAAGATAGTTATAGTTATACATCTGGTAGTGAATATTCTTCAAATTATGAAGGAGATGATACAAATGATACGGGAAAATCGTATGATTTCGAAGATGAATGCGAAATGGAGGAGGAAGACGATTCTGACGAAGAACACTACTCAGATTTTGATGAAGATGATTATGAAGAAGATGAAGATAGTTATAGTTATACATCTGGTAGTGAATATTCTTCAAATTATGAAGGAGATGATACAAATGATACGGGAAAATCGTATGATTTCGAAGATGAAGAACATGATGAAGATTATAAATTACCGGAAGATGTACCAGAAGATTTGATTATACATTCAGGTAAGGTTCCAAACAAATTTCAATACTTATATAAATTATTCAAGAAAGTGTATTTATGGTTATAGGTTCTGGAATATTATAGTGGAATATTTAGAGATTTTTTTCTTGAGCTAAGAACCGTATTGCAAATTTGCTATCGGTCTATCGTTAAACATTCTGGACTCTGGAATTTTTTCTATTTTTTTTATTTTTTCCCATTTCAGGAACTGCCACCAAGCGTGATATACAACCCGAAGATAATGTGGTATTTAAGGATAAGAAATATTGTCAAATTATTGAATTGAAGGATCAGAAGACGGTTAAAACCGTACAACAACCCGAAGCCTATAAGAAGGAAGAATTGCTCAAACTAACCTATAAAGAAAATCACACTGTAAACATTGCATTTCCAACAACAACAAAAACATCTTTAACCAATTCCAAAGATGATGATACCAAAGCCATAAACGATAAAGTGGAGGAAAATGGCGTAGAGGATGATAAAAATGATGATTGTCCCAAATTGGTACCCATTGTCGATGCAGATGGATTTCAACTCTACAATCCCAATGAGGATGAAGAGACCTTAGACGAGGAATCTTTAGATGAGGAGGAGGAGCTGGATGATTATGAAGATCAAGATGAATATGAAGAAGATGAGTATGAAGGTCAGGGGGAATATGAGTATGAAGATGATGATTCAATGGAAAATGTTAGCCTAGGCAGTGAATATACTGAACTAGATTCCGACGAGGCGGACTCTTTAATGTCTGAAGATATTAATGAGAAATATATGAATAGAAATGCCAATGATTATGACAGTATGGATGATGATGAACGTATGCAGGCCATGCAAACGGTGGATATTATAAATGCCACCAAGTGTAAATATACGGGAAATAAGAAGAATAAGAACACCAATGAGCAGATGGATGTGGAAGATTTACCCTCACAAACTTTGAATAAAAACATCAAGGTTGGTAGTAAAGCCAAAATTGTATGTATTCCTGTGGTGGATGAAAACCCAAAGGCTGAGAGCAAGGAAGAGGTGGTCGAAGAACAGAAAGAAGTGTGTAAAGCAGCTGTGGCAGAAGCCCAAAAGGAAAAGGGTAAACAATCTCCGGTAGAAGCACAAAAAATTGAGACTAAAAATGATTCCATGAATTGTAACAAAAGCAAATCTCAGCTCGAAAACGAAAATGCTATCAAATTGGAAAATAATACCTCCCTCAATAGCTCTCAAAATGAAGAAATTTCTGAAGAGGAAATTACCACATCATATGAAGACATATTAAAGGAAGAGGAGGAAAATAAATCAGCAAACCCTCCCCAAGAAGTTGTTAGCAATCGTACAAAAATCCAACATCAAAGCCTTGCCCATTTTGATACGATATTCTGTAATGCCATTAATGCCAATTTGGTATTGGCCCTGGTTAAAGATCCCTTCTATATTTATGGTACTGTACGCCTCACACTCTTAGCTGGTAATGTTGAAATTTATGGCCATACACTTAGTCCGAACAAGGAAATTGAAATATTTTCACCACGTGGTTGTAGTGTCATTGAAATTTCCTCAAATCCCTTGAAACAAAAAGCAGCATCACAACAGAATAATTTGAAGGAAGTATTGAAAAATTACTCAAATAATTTCTTACGTTCCGACTTGGAAAACATCACAAAGTCGTATGATCCCAAAACGGATGCCGTGGTTTTAATGAAACGCAACGAGGAACGTAGGAAGGTGGTTTCACAATTTAAGAAATTCATGAATGAAAATGTTTTCCCCAATCTACAAAACATTAACACCGATCGTCCTCTCTACAATTCGGAATATTTATTGCGATGCATTATCAACACCTCTGCCATGGAACAGAAATGTTTGCATTTATCTGAGCAATGGAAACTTTTTGAAGTAACACCCAAATCTCGGGTACTTTTGGCTGGTGGTAAGGGTGTGGGGAAATCCACCCTGCTGCGTTATCTCATCAACAAGGAGTTGCAGAAAAGTGTAAAGGTCTTACTAATCGATTTGGATATTGGCCAACCGGAAATATTTGTACCTCAGACGGTATCATGTACGGTGGTGACGAAACCACTTCTAGGACCTGGTTTCTTTTTGAATGCGCAACCAGAGAAGGCATTTGCCGTGGGTCACACCAACATTGTCATGTGTGCTCATCGTTATATTGCAGCTGTGCAACAATTAATCGACTACTGTTTGGCCCAAAAGGAGCTACAAGATCTGCCATGGTTTGTTAATACCATGGGCTATAATAAAGGTTTTGGTTTGGAACTTATTTCAGTGATAATAAAATCCCTTCCGCTCACAGATGTCATACAACTACAAAGTAACAGGGAAATTAATAATTTCGACAGTTTACTATTCCCACAAAATATCGAACAAGTTCCAAGCAATATGTTTATGGAATATAATGGATATCTAGATCAGGAATCCTCAAAATTAAACTATCGCACTCATATATGGCAATCAGCTGTGGCCCAAGAATCACGCTATCAAAAGGAATGGGATATGAGCCCCAAAGATACACGTTATGCCATGTTACTGACACGTTTAAGTGTGGCTCTGCAGGGGCATGCTGAATGGCTGACGGATTGTAAACCTTTGAGGTAATTTTAATTTATTTTCATACATCGAGATATTTTTTAAAAATACTTTTTTTGTAGTGCTCCATTGGACCAACTGAAATTAGTCAATTTAATGGACAATAAACCACCCAGCTCCCAGGATGAACTGGCCAAGGCAATGGAGGCCAATATTGTGTACTTATGTCATGCTGATGAGACAAACAATGATGCAGTACAGTGTTTGGGAATAGGTGAGACATATTTTGGAACCAAATTGAAGATATTTCCGAATAGTGCACGTTTCTCTGTGGTATTTATAAAGACCTGTGGTTCTCTATACCACAAAAATTGTTCCTTATAAATACCTGTTGGTCTCTGAGATAGTCCATAAAGACCTGTGGTCTCTATACAGACCAATTGGTCTTTATAAAGACATGTGGCTTCTATACAGATCAATTGGTATTTATAAAGACCCGTGGGTCTCTTTATTACAGGCCTATTGATCGTGATGATCCAATACACCTAATCTAATAATTTATGTGTTAATTTTACCTTTTGTTCTTTCCCAGGTGTTGTTCGCGCCATTGACTATCATGTACGTCAGGTATATCTCATTCCGGCCATTTCCCCGTCCCTGCTAAAGCATGTCAACTGTTTGGCATTAGGTGAAATGCCTTTACCCAGTTCTATGTTAACCAATCAAGGTTCTCGTGTCAATAAAACCGCACCATTCGTCTATAATACCATAGAAGCGAATGCCTCCAAGGCAATTAAACAAATTTATCATAGACCTAAGTTCTTCCTTAGCGGCAAACACAAACCCTTAGACTAAGTGAGCTACAATAAAGTGTTTAGTTACATTTTTTGTTTTTGTTATTGAAATAAAACAACTGAAGAAGACTTTTTATTTATTTAAATAATTGGTTTTATTTTATGTTGTGGACAACTTATTCTCTTTAAAATAAAAACAGTAATCAAGGGAGGGTTGCTATTTCTATCACTTCCGATTGTTATCTCTTAGGTACGCAATGTATCGAACTACTTAATTCTGTGCCTATATATTGAGGTATACTTATCTGTATTTTGGGAAATATCCACGAATCGTTGTACACAGTAGACCAATTCGACGAAACTATCCCAGGACTTTTTGTATAGAATTGAAATAAGTGAAGATTTTTCCATTATTTAAATAAATTGTTTCCTTTTATTATTCTTCCTAATGTGATAACATTTTTTCTTATTAAAATATAAACAACAGAGGAGAGGGCTACGTTAAAATCATACACCATTAGAAGTAAACTCATCACTTCCAAATGTATTTTCTATTTATTTCTATTCTAGTGAGCCAACACATAACGTCCCTTCAGGATGCGGCGCATCAGTGTCCTTCTACCTCCTTCCGTGGCCATGCGAACATCCCAACCATGTACATTGATACGTTTAACTTCCCGGGGTTTGGGGAAATGACAACGTACCTTGGTCTTCAGCACGTCCCGGTTGAAAGCATGAGCTTCTCGTGTTATCATCATTTGTCCAACACTGTTGCAGGCTCTGAAATAATGGAATAAAATTTGTGTAATTGGTGTTATAGGTCCACAATTCGTGTTTAATTACCTTCTCAAGATGTTGGTAAACATTTTCTTTTATTATTTTATATAAATATTCCTAAAAATTCCGGTGAAGTAATAAGTTAGCCACAATAATGTTGTTAGAGATGACAATTGATGGCGCTATCGATGGTATCGATAATTTGCATTCTTTCACAAAACAGCTGTTCAAATGGCAGTGTTCAGTGATGTTGCTCGTGCGAGGGTATGTTCAGTGTAATAACTAAATTCCTTCATTCTGTCGTGTTGCTCATGCGATGGTGTGTTCAGTGTATCAGATACAATAAGAAATAAATTCCTTTGCCGGTTTTTAAAATTGAATACATTTTTATTAACAGTTATTATAACAGAATCGAAATACAAGTTTCAGAAAAATATTGTAATAAAAATAGCGCATGTTCAGTGTTTTAGTCTTGACATTTATAAACATTTTTCAAAGGAAATCTCTTTGTTTTTGATTCCCGTACTCCAAATGAGTTAAAACTTTTGAAATTTATTAAGAGGAAAATCAAAAAAGTTTCAATACTTCGATTTAGAAATCGAGACTATTAAGAAGTCTCAATTTAAACGTGCCTTATAACACCTCGATTTCTAAATCGTATACGTTTTAAATCGAATGGATTTAGAAGTTTAAACGCGTTCTAAGTTTTAGTATCGTGCTTACCATATCAAATTTGTATTTAAATAAAAATATTCCAAATGAATTTCTAACATAAAAACTTGTTTTTCTTTTTATTGATGTTCATATTTTTCTGTTTGGTATTTAATGACATGTTGTTGTATTTTTTTTTTAAGTTTTATATATAATTAATTTCTTATTGATAATGTAAATTAACAATTTATTTACTATGTAATTTTGTTTGTTTTTTTTTCTATAATATTTTTTATGTATTTAATAAATAATGTTTTTTTATTAATAAATTCTGATAATTATTGTGTTGTGTGTTTTTAATTTTCTTTATTTTTATTTGCATCAGATGTCGCTTTTATAGTTTAATTAATTATTATATTTTTTGGATCAACATATTTACATATGCATGTATTTATATGTTTTGTAGGACATTGTTGATTATTTTTATTTATTAATTTTTGTTTGAACATAAATTATTATAACAATTATTAACAAATATAGATATATGTGAATAACAACAATGAGTATGTCAGTTTGTAATGTTTTGTTTTTTTTTTGAAAAAATAAATAATAGTAATTGTGTATAAAAAATAATTGATAAATATTTTTATGTAGTTTTTTTTCAATAGTAGTTAATGTGTGAGTAACATAAATAAGGAACTTTGTGTTTTTATGTTTAAGTAAAACGTCAAAGAAACATATGTTGACAGAAGTCAATATATATTGAGTGAGATTATTGCATTTCAACAAATAATAAAACTGAATAATGTAAGAGAAACAATTCAACATTATGCCACATTTACCCTGAACGCCATTTCTGATAAATCATAATTTATGCTGTCATTTCCTTTGTATATATGTCAAATTAATGATTTCCGTAAAACATGTTCGGTGTAAATGTGCTGTTAGCTTATGTTTACATCGAATATATTTTACATACATGTTTTAAATAAATGACAAAAATAAATCTCATCATACAACACGTTTAATGTAAACATAGCCTTAAACAGATGTCAGCTTTTATTTATTACGATTTATTGACTTTCTAAGTATCGAACGTCATATTAATTATGAAACATCTCTGTATGATTGGACAGTTCAATGATACTGTTTACATTAATTTAAAAAAATATATAACAATATAAATTAACATATAAAATAAATAACAAACTTAATGCACTATGATGCAGTTACAATTAGCGTCAAATGAAGGTATATAAAGCACATGATTATACCATTAAAATAAAATAAATTATATAATATTAAGTTCTATGTAAATTACTGTCTAATTGAGATTAAATTAAACTATGTTTACACTAAACACAAACTGTCATTTCGCATGAAAGTAGACAACAAAAGAATAACCGTAATATAAATCATTTGACACCAACTGTATATTGCCTTAAATAAAAATATAATTAGAAACATAAACATTATATGTACCAAAAATAGTTTTAAACTTTGGACCTTGTTGTTGTTGTTTTGTTGCGTCATTATGAGTAACTATTGTTGATTAAGTTTTTTCTTTGATTTTATGCAAGTTTTTTTTTAATTTTTCATGTTGTTGCTTTTTTTGTTGTACATATGTAACTTAACACTACATTATTTCAAATAACTTTGTGTAATTTTACATTATTTTTTTCTATTAATTAAATTATGTGTTATTAGGTTTCAACTATTAATAAATTCTTCAATTGTTTTATTAATTTATTAGGCTATGTTTACATAGGAGGCATTTATAAAGATTATAAAAATCTATAGTAAATAATTTGACATATATTTGTAATAATCAAAAATATGACAAATAATCCTCTGATAGATGTTTTTTTTAATCATGATAAAGCTATGTAAACATAGCCTTAGATTGGTAGTCATTTTATGTAATTTTTTTAATCGATAAGTAACATGAGGAACTTAAACACTTAAACCATTGGAATTTAAATATTTCAGAAATGATTATTAACAAAAATCAAACAGACTCTAAATATGTTAATTTATAATATTAAATTTTTTGACAGATCAATCATCATCATTCAATCAGCTGGTGTGATTAAAAAAATAAAATACACAATCACAATTGTAGTCCATTTTTTAATCCGGTTAAAAAATAGCTGCAATTGTGATTGAATTAGTCTATACCTTCCAAATCGGCAAGAATTCTGAAACGAGGTACAAAAACCTAGTTGTTTATACTTGTATGAAAAATATATAAAATTGAGAGTCAGCTGTTATTTGTTTACGTATAAATACATATTGTAGCTGCAAATTAGACCTTGAATTTGGACATCATAAGGGAATATATCTGGCCCTGATTTAGTAAATAAAATTGAGGTTACATTTTCATATGATTAATTCGAATCCTCTTCAGTTTGACAATTGGATGATCAACTGTTTTTCAGGGTTGAATTTTGTTAGAAACTGTTCACACACATTAAAAAATATAATTGTAGCGTTTCTGGCATTTCCTTGTGGTTTAAGTGTTAAGTTTTAGATTTCTAATTTCAAAATATTATTTAACCAATCTTTATGAGACAATTTTTTTTTGTTTTTAGTTTTTTTAATAATAAATAGTATGCAAGTATGGAACATATGTTTGATGTCAATTCGTTTTAGTTTTACTTGTAGTTTTCTTAATGTAAATACTCTAAGTTTTCATTTGTTTAAAATAAACAAGAAAAAACAAATAGTTGACTAGAATAATTTGAATACCTCGAGAATGGGGAGAGATATTTCAGAACTTTCTTTTTAATAAATAAAAATAAAAAAGACATTCATTTTCTTTTTACTAACAGAATGAAGAACTTCATTGTTGTATGAGACTCTAGAGTCATCTAAAAATTATATCCAGAGCTTCAATATATAAGGAATCTAGAAAGCCTTCTCTAAAAATACTCTCATAATGTTTTCTATACCCTCATAATGCTTTCTATCTTTATGGGACCTATAGAAATACCGTATAACTGTAAAGGAAATATTGATGATCACCATATTAGGAATATTTCTCTAGGTCCTCCATTAAAGTCATAGACCCATTCTGTCTATAGGGCATCTTTAGAAGTCATTATCCTAATTGATGACCTTAAGAAGGTATTCTATTTTTAGGAGACTCTTAAGATTCTGTAAAATCCATATAGAAGCGTTCTATAGACTATTTAAAGAAGACTTATAATGTCCCACTGATTATTTTGGCTATCGGGCATCTATTGAAGGCATTATAAAGATCTACTCATGATATTATCTATCGGTACCTACTGAATGTCTTCCATTTATGTGAGATCTATATAAGTCATGCAATCTATAGTAAAACTGTGCAAATTATCCAATCTATTAGAACCCATCTGGAGGTCATATGAGGCAGCTTCAGTATATAAATAACCTATAGAGTCGTACATATATAAATTACTTATATATTTTTGTAGATGGCCTCCTATCCCGGCAGATATTTTATCCTACATATAAAATTCCATCTACAAATTAGCTACAAAACCCTTATCGATGGTCCATAGATTGAAAATACATATGAAAAGGTTTTCTATAGGAACAAAACCAAGATTAATTATTAAGATCACCCAGCAAGCGAAAGTCAGCTGTTTTTTCTCAAGTCTAATGTCAAAAATTTTGACTTTGTGTATCTTTTCATAATGTATGTCAATTCACAATAATGGATTTTGACAGCAAACAGCTGAGAAGCAGCTGATATGCAACTGATCTTTAAAGGACCTATAGAACCCTACTTATGGTCCTCAAGCTAAAAATCACATGTAAAACCCTTCACGTGATCCTGAGATCTAAATTTTCTTTTAAAGCCCTACAGATACAGATGATCTTCAAAAATTATGTGTTTATGTTTATCATACGATCAATTCAAAATAGAAAGTATTTTGACAGCAGCAGCGATGTCATCTGGTCTTAATGTTCGACCTTTTAAATTGGCCATGATAAAACAAATTGTGTAATAAGGTAACCCGGGAAGATCACCTGCAAATCAGCTGCTTCTCAACTTTGCTGTCAAAATACATTATTGTGACTTGACTTCACATTATGAAAACGTAAACAAAGTCAATATTTTGACATTAGAAAAAAAACATATGTTTTCTGCTTCTTGGGTGAATTTATTAATATGTCATGATCTACATAGAGCATGATCCATTAATAAGGTTATGTACTAAAAAAAAAACATCTGTTTTTTATTCGACCATCAAACTTTATCAACTTCAAACTTTATCTAGTCATATTTCTCATGGTTGGCAACATTGCACGTCGAATTAAGGTTATGTAAGAAGCTAATATTATCGGAAGTTTTGATTGAAAATCTCCCATGCTGTAATTTTTTTTTGGTTTTCTATGATGGGACAATAAGGTGATCTACCAAAACACTAAAATTTTTGTTTTTGTCTGGACCATCTGTCAAATTTTTCCTTATAATATTTCACATGGTTGGCAACATTTCACATCGAATTCAAGTTGAAATTACGCACTTTGACAGTTAATCGAGACATAAGCTGCAGTTTTCATACGAAGTTTTTAATACGATTAAGTAAAAATTGAAAGCATTTTGACAGCTCGGGTGAAAGCATCTGGCTTTATCGGACGATCTTAATATTGAGCCAAGCAATGGACTTTGAAAGGTAATTGAATAGTCAGCTGCGCAGAATGGGGTACCCATGATGCAATAATAAGATGATATATATTATAACAAAAACCTTGCTTTTGTCTCAACCATCTGTCAAATTTTTCCTTATAATATTTCACATGGTTGGAAACATTGCACATCGAATTCAAGGTGAAATTACGCACTTTGACAGTTAATCGAGTCATCAGCTGTACCATAATCTGGAGCAAGTCTTTATAGGATCAAGTCTTCTATATATAGAACATGTATTGGAGATCTCCCCACTACAGAAGGCTTTCTATTTTTAGGTTATGTTGAATAATAGAGGGGTGGTTTTCTCACATTAGCCAATGAAGAAACCTTATATATTTTTAAAATTAATAAATTTCTGTCGAATCTCTCCACCATCTCCCTCACTCATTCTGTGTAAATCCTTCTTCTAAACGAAATAAAATACCCTAGAGAAAAAAAAAACAAATAATTCTACTCCTGCTAAGATTTTAAGTTAATGTTTCTTCTTATGCCTGTAACAGATTCTTAGAGAGTGTTTTAGTATTAGTGTCGGCGTGTGTGTGTAAATAAGTTAGTGTTTAATTTACTTATAGAATATATACCTGTTTGTTGTAATGTTTTTCTGCTGCTGCTTTTGCTTCACTGCATCTTTCACTATTTTTTTATAATAAACATACTCTACCAAAAAAGAGAATAGAAAGTGGACTTTTGTTTATCCCACCATGTGCGATTTGATCCTTGTGCTTCTTGTTGCTCTTGTAGTTTTCTTCATTTTCCACATAACAATAAAATCCCCATCACCCGGCTTAATTTAAATTACGTCTTCGCCGAAATACCAAGGCGAATATCGAACGTATACGCCACCAACGACTTCGTCGCCGCGAATGTAACTTCTCCGAACTTGTGCCATTACCCAGGGCCCGTTGCTTTTCTTTGCGGCGTATTTCTCGTATGAGAGCATAAAATGCCTCATCGATGTAGAGCCGCAATGCGGCCGATGTCTCAAAGAAGGGACAGCCGAATTGATTGGCCAAATTGCGGCCCTCTTCAGTTGAAACCTGCAGGGGAAGGGTTGAAAATTATTTTATAGGATCTGGAATTTAATAATTCGGTTGGACTTACCTTCCTTAGTGATTCGAGATCACTTTTATTGGCAATCAGCACCAATGGTATATCTTCGGTTAATCGTACTCTTTGTATTAGTTTACGATATTCCGACGCCTCTTCATAGCTATGCCGATCGATTACCGAATAACAAATTATGAATCCCTCGCCACATCGCATATACTGATCACGCATGGCCGTGAACTCAACCTGACCCGCAGTATCGAGTATATCCAAGAGGGCGGCTTCATTGTCGATAACGGCTTGTTGTTGATATGAGTCCTCTGGAGGAGAAAGAAATTAAATTTAGATTTAATAGAATATTTTCTGAGGGTCTACTAATGGCGTGGAATTAAAAAAAAAATTCCTAGGTCCTACTAAAGGTGTGGATTTTTAAAGAATAATTTCGTTCTACTAAAGGTGTGTATTTTTTAAGGAATAATTTTCTGGAACTCTATATGAGGCGTGGATTTTTAAAATAATATTTTCTGAGGGTTTACTAAGGGAAGATTTGTAAAAGAATATTTTCTGAGGGTCTACTAAGGAAAATTTTTGAAAGAATATTTTCTGACCGGCCTACTAAGGGAAGATTTTTAAAAGAATATTTTCTGGGTGGTCTTCTAAAGCCGTGGATTTTTAAAGAAATATCGGAAATTGAGATTCAGCCTTTTAAAAAATATTTTTAAAAACCCACGCCTATGGAAGTGATTATCCTTATAAAAATCGCTGTAAAAAATCCACTCCTATGGAGTGGACAGTCCTTATAAAAATCGCTGTAAAAAATCCACGCCTATGGAGGGGATAGCCCTTATTAAAATCTATTTAAAAAATCCACTCCTATGGAGTGGACAGTCCTTATAAAAATCTGTTTAAAAAATCCACGCCTATGGAGGGGATAGTCCTTATAAAAATCTCTTTAAAAAATCCACGCCTATGGAGGGGATAGTCTTTATAAAAATCTGTTTAAAAAATCCACGCCTGTGGACGGGAAGGGATAGTCCTTATAAAAATCTGTTTAAAAAATCCACGCCTATGGAAGGGATAGTCCTTATAAAAATCTGTTTAAAAAATCCACGCCTATGGAAGGGATAGTCCTTATAAAAATCTGTTTAAAAATCCACGCCTATGGAAGGGATAGTCCTTATAAAAATCTGTTTAAAAAATCCACGCCTATGGAAGGGATAGTCCTTATAAAAATCTGTTTAAAAAATCCACGCCTTGGGTGGGGATTGTCCTGATAAAAATCTGTTTAAAAATCCACGCCTATGGAAGGGATAGTCCTTATAAAAATCTGTTTAAAAAATCCATGCCTATGGAAGGGATAGTCCTTATAAAAATCTGTTTAAAAAATCCACGCCTTGGGTGGGGATTGTCCTGATAAAAATCTGTTTAAAAATCCACGCCTATGGAAGGGATAGTCCTAATAAAAATCTGTTTAAAAAATCCACCCCTATGGAAGGGATAGTCCTTATAAAAATCTGTTTAAAAAATCCATGCCTATGGACGGGATAGTCCTTATAAAAATCTGTTTAAAAAATCCACGCCTATGGAAGGGATAGTCCTTATAAAAATCTGTTTAAAAAACCCACGCCTATGGAAGGGATAGTCCTTATAAAAATCTGTTTAAAAAATCCACGCCTATGGACGGGATAGTCCTTATAAAAATCTGTTTAAAAAATCCACGCCTATGGAAGTGATTATCCTTATAAAAATCAGTGTAAAAAATCCACGCCTATGGACGGGATAGTCCTTATAAAAATCTGATTAAAAATCCACGCCTATGGAGGGGATAGTCCTTATAAAAATCAGTGTAAAAAATCCACGCCTATGGACGGGATAGTCCTTATAAAAATCTGATTAAAAATCCACGCCTATGGAGGGGATAGTCCTTATAAAAATCTGATTAAAAATCCACGCCTATGGAGGGGATAGTCCTTATAAAAATCTGATTAAAAATCCACGTCTATGGAGGGGATAGTCCTTATAAAAATCTGTTTAAAAAATCCACGCCTATGGACGGGATAGTCCTTATAAAAATCTGTTTAAAAAAGTCCACGCCTAGGGAGGGGATAGTCCTTATAAAAATCTGTTTAAAAAATCCACACCTATGGAGAGGGTAGTCCTTATAAAAATCTGTTTAAAAAATCCACGCCTATGGAGAGGATAGTCCTTATAAAAATCGGTTTAAAAAATCCACGCCTATGGAGAGGATAGTCCTTATAAAAATCTGTTTAAAAAATCCACGCCTATGGACGGGATAGTCCTTATAAAAATCTGTTTAAAAATCCACGCCTATGGAAGTGATTATCCTTATAAAAATCAGTGTAAAAATCCGCGCCTATGGAGAGGATAGTCCTTATAAAAATCAGTTTGAAAAATCCACGCCTATGGACGGGATAGCCCTTATAAAAATCTGTTTAAAAAATCCACGCCTATGGACGAGATAGCCCTTATAAAAATCTGTTTAAAAAATCCACGCCTATGGAGGGGATAGTCCTTATAAAAATCAGTTTAAAAAATCAACGCCTATGGAAGGGGATAGTCCTTATAAAAATCTGTTTAAAAAATCCACACCTATGGAGGGGATAGTCCTTATAAAAATCAGTTTGAAAAGTCCACGCCTATGGAGTGGATAGTCCTTATAAAAATCTGTTTAAAAAATCCAAAATCCTTCTACAAATTTGTGTAAAAATCCACGCCTATTAGCGGGATAGTTCTGATAACAATATGTTTAAAAATCTACTAGGAGGTGGTTTTCTAGCTGTAGAAGACCTACAGGAGACCTTCTGGTCGCATAAGATCTGTAGGATGTCTTCTAGCCGTAAGAGACATCTGGTAGGTCTTCTAACTATTGAAGGCCGGTAGGAGGTCTTCTAGCTATAAAAGACATGCAAAAGGCTTTCTAGCTATAGAAACCCTGCAAAAGACCTTTCTATCTATAGGAGGCCTGTATGAAATCTTCTAGCTATAGAAGACCTGTATAATGCCTTCTAGTTACAGAAGACCTGTAGGAGGTCTATATAATAACTGTAAGAGGTCTTCTAGCCGTAGAAAAACAATGTGAGGTTTTCTTCCTATAGATGACCTGCAGATCTTCCTGTTGTTGGTCGTCTAACTCTAGAAAACCCATAGGAGGTGTTCTAGACACAGAAGACATTTAGAAGGTTTTCCACCTATAGAAGACCTGCGGGTGATATTCTAGCTATAGACGAACTGTAGGATTTCTTTCATCTACGAAAGACACGTTGGAAGTATTCTACGAGTAGCTATAGAAGACCTGTTGGAGTTATCTCCTCTTTGAGGTTCTCTATATATAGAAGACCTTTTGGAAGTCCCTTATAAATATAAGACCTATGTGTAGAAGACCTTTTGAATGTCTCTTATCTATATAAGACCCATTGGAGGTTTCCTATCTTTAGAAGAGCCCTAGAAGACCTCCTATTTATGGAAGACTTCTTAAAGGTCACATATCTATAGGAGATATATTGAAGATTTTCTATATACAGAAGACCTCTTGGAGGTCTCCTATCTGCAGAACACCACATGGAGGTCTCCAATATATTACAGACTTCTTGGAGGTCTCTCATATATAGAAGACCTCTTGGAAGTCTAAGACCTCATGAATTTTTTTTATTTTTATTTATCATTTCATACTTACCAATTGTCGGATCATGATAGTCCAAAAAATTATGACTAACAAATTGCAGGGTAACAGCTGTTTTTGGTGCGGGTGGGTGTGTGTGTGTTAGCAGTTGTAAGGCGCGCCATAATCGCCACATAGTTACAGTTCGTTTGGACCAGGCCAAAACAATGATGAAAACCGCCATACGAACGACAATAACAACAACGAAAGTGAAGTGAAATGTTCGGCATGGGGGGATGGTGGAGGAAGATAAGTCAAAATATACGTTGAGAAGAGCGGCAATTGGTTCGGCATCATCAACATCGTCGTCATCATCAGCAGCAGCAGAAAAACCCGGTGGAGGTGGTGGCAAAACATTTTTGATAAGAAACGTCAATACAAAATCGGATGCGTGTATATAATTGCGAATGAAAACATGAAAGAAAGATAAACGAAGAAAAGAATAATTTTTTTTGGAGAAATGGTAGAACAAAAGAAATATTGCGTTAGGCAGACGGACAGACAAACACACATAGAGAGAGAGAGGCATATGTAGATAATTATTGATTTATTCCAAAGTAGCAGAATTAGAAGCAGAGGAAGGAATATTTACCCGATTTTCCAACACCACCATCACCCAATATAACAATCTTATAGACCCTTAGACCTCCTCGCATATTTTGCGGTGGAACATTGGGCGGTTTCATAGCCAAATGACCATTTTCCTTGCGATTGCCACAGGCATTTGTAATACTGGAATTATTCTCCTTGTCGCTGGACAATTTCTGTTTGGCAGATTTTTTCAGGGCAGCACATCCAACTGTGGACATATCACCGGCCATATGTAGATGTGAGGCCTCACAGAAGGGCTCACGGGGAGAATTAAGTATGTGATAGAGGATATTCCTCTGGTAAGGATGGTTCAGTTGTGGCGAGGTTCAACCTTGAACGTGATGTAGGCTTATAAGGGGATGTGTTTTTGTTGTTGGTGGTGGTCAGTCAAGACAGGCTATTGAGATTCCGAGAGATCGAAGAAGCTTTTCAAGATTTGTATTTTATTTTCCAATTCTGTAAAACATTGCCTTGGATTTGGTTAAGATTTGTTTTTTTTTAAATGGGGATGGGCCTTGAAATATTTTTTTACACAATGGACACTTTTCGTAATATTTTCTTTTTTATGAGACAGTAGAGTGAGAGTGAGGGGCACGTGTTATTTCTTTTATTTATTATATTATATATAATTTTTTTTTTTTTTTAAATTAATTTATTATTTTTTTCGTTAATTCGTTAAAATTATTTTTTTTTCGTTCGATAGCACTTTTTCTTGCAAAACAATAACAATTTTGGTTATCCTCTCAAAGCACAAAAAATTTCTTCCAATAGATACTTTTTTTTCACTGCAAAAATTTCACCGAAATGAAAAATGGTATTTCGTTCGATTTTTTTTGTTTTAATGCGGAACCAGCAGCGGACTGAGAATGATTTTTAATCGGTTTGGTTTTTGTTGTAGATTTGTCGGAAGCGAAACAAAATTAAAATTAAATTAATAATATTTATTATTTATTTTTTTGTTTTTTTTTTCTGTTACACTTTAACAACAAAACAGTGAAAATTTTCCCATTTCTCGCCGTCGTCGTTGTCGTCTTTGCTTGCTCGTCGTATCGACAGAAAAAAAGCTGGTATTCTATTCTTTTCAGATTCTTTGTGGCTGTCGTTGTCGTCGTTTGGTCTTTACCGCCCGTATGTGTTTTTGGTGGGGCTTTGAGAGGGGGTTGTTTGATTTTGCTTGGCGTATATCAAGAAAAATCAACCCTTGTTTTTGTTAGGTTTTCTTTTTTCCCTTCTTATTTTGCTTTGAATTCGTTTCGTTTATGTTTTCCCTCTGTTTTTGTCGTTTTATTCTATTTGGTTGTGTTGTTTTTCCTGTCCAACCGTTGTATGTATATAATAATAGTATTTACTCTCACTCTCAGCTCTCTTGAGTTTTACTACAACCCGATGCTATAGTATATATACAACTAATACTACTATCAACAACAATACAGACCCCCGAAGTCCCACCACCACCCCCATGCAATAGCATTTGTTTGATTTTCCCCAACAACAACAGATGTTTTTGTTGGGAAAATAATTTATTGTTTTGGGTAGTGAAAGTTTTCCCCAAAAGCTTTTCATTATAATAAAGCGATACCATTTGCTTTCTCTCACACACATTCTCTCTCTCCCACATTCACAAATAAATGTAATTGGTTGGTGTCCTAACTAAATTATTCACTAAAAGCTTTTTAGAGGAATTTTTGGAATTCAAAATTGGGGGACCAGTGAACTTTTTAAGTTCCATGGGCTGTGTCACCAAGAGGCGTGGATTTTTGTGGAATAGTTTTTCAGGGTCTATATAAGGCGTGGATTTTTAAAGAATAGTTTTTCAGGGTCACCAAGAGGCGTGGATTTTTAAAGAATAGTTTTTCAGGGTCACCAAGAGGCGTGGATTTTTTAAAGAATATTTTTTTCAGGGTCACCAAGAGGCGTGGATTTTTTAAAGAATAGTTTTTCAGGGTCTATAAAAGGCGTGGATTTTTTAAAGAATAGTTTTTCAGGGTCTATAAAAGGCGTGGATTTTTTAAAGAATATTTTTTTCAGGGTCACCAAGAGGCGTGGATTTTTTAAAGAATATTTTTTTCAAGGTCACCAAGAGGCGTGGATTTTTTAAAGAATATTTTTTTCAGGGTCACCAAGAGGCGTGGATTTTTTAAAGAATATTTTTTTCAGGGTCACCAAGAGGCGTGGATTTTTTAAAGAATATTTTTTTCAGGGTCACCAAGAGGCGTGGATTTTTTAAAGAATATTTTTTTCAGGGACACCAAGAGGCGTGTTTTTTTTTAAAGAATAGTTTTTCAGGGTCTATAAAAGGCGTGGATTTTTTAAAGAATAGTTTTTCAGGGTCTATAAAAGGCGTGGATTTTTTAAAGAATATTTTTTTCAGGGTCACCAAGAGGCGTGGATTTTTTAAAGAATATTTTTTTCAGGGTCACCAAGAGGCGTGGATTTTTTAAAGAATATTTTTTTCAGGGTCACCAAGAGGCGTGGATTTTTTAAAGAATATTTTTTTCAGGGTCACCAAGAGGCGTGGATTTTTTAAAGAATAAAAAATTTAAAATCCCAAGCCTAAAAAGTTAAAATCCCAAGCCTAAAAAGTTAAAATCCCAAGCCTCTTGTGTGCCTTAAAAACATTCTTTAAAAACCCCATATCTCTTGTGGCCTTGAAATATTATAAAAAATTTCGTTTTTTTTTAATTTCTTGTATATTTCTTTCATAAAAATCTTACAGACTATTTTTTAACAAATTAACAGAAAAACAATTAAATTAAAATTCCGTATTAAATGGAAAATATTTATGATGACTCATTCCGGTGAAGGGTATTAGCCGTGTATTGGAATTATAACGATCCATCAATTGCATATCTTCAGGCGTCAGTTCAAAATCGAAACAATCGAAGTTCTCAGCAATGACAATTGTTCCCAGTTGGATTAAATACCTTAAGCAAATTTGAGCCGGAGTACGATTATACCGCTTCGCCAAGTCCTGGGCTGTTTCGTCATAAAGAAATGCTGGCCATTTTTGTGCTGGCTTCGGCCTAGCCAATGGAGCATAGGCTGTAATCACAATATCCCGTTGCTTTGAGAATTCAATAAGCTTCTTTTGATTAAAGGCTGGGTGGCATTCCACTTGATTTACCACTGGACGAATGCGGCAATTCTGCAAAATCCTTTCAGTTTGTTCGGCATTGAAATTGGAAATGCCCAAACCCTTGACCAAACCAAGATCAACTAGTTTCTCCATTGCCTTCCAGGTGTCAACGTAGTCGGTATCACTCAATTCCCCACTGCCATGAACATTATTATCACCCTTGTAGACCTGGCCCACTGGGAAGTGCATCAGATACAAATCAATGTAGTCCAATCCCAAATTGCTCAAACTTTTGCGACAGGCGTGCTCCACAATTTGCGGGTCATGATGAATGCCACCCAACTTGGTGACCACAAAAATGTCTTCTCTGCGGATTTTGCCTTCAGCTATCTTTGCTTTGATGGCTCGTCCAACTTCGTGCTCATTTTCATAGACAAAGGCGGTATCAATGTGCCGGTAGCCAATATCAATGGCATCTTTGACGGCTTGCTCAGCTTCATTTTCATAGGAACGCCAGGTGCCCAAGCCCACCACGGGCATTTGCTGGCCATTGTTTAGTTTAATGCAGGGTGCTAGTTTTGTTGTCATTTCTTCAAGTGTTTTCTATATTTTTATCAAATTGACACTTCTTATCTTTGAGATTTTTATTTATTTACGATTTGCCAATATTCCACTTAGTTTTAGTTTTTACACGTAACGCCACACTCGGCACTTCGATGAGAACTGTCTGTTTTTATTGTGAAATTCATTTGTTTATAAGCGTCGTTCGTCAATTGTTCGGTTCTCACAATCTCTTGCGGTTTCTATGGCTCTCACTGGCCGGCTGGTTAAGTTGTTTGACGGGTATACATGTTGAAGAATAAGTTTTGTTGTGGTACCAACCCTACGTCATTCTTGGTTTTCACTTCTCTAATGTCGTTGGTCTTGGGGAATTTTGTGCTGACTCATTTGCAGATGTTGACACAAAGAGTGCCTCTTGGCCTCTTGAGCATACAATTTAACTCAAAAAAGGGGAGCTTTCAGTGGCGTGACACCAACTGAAATAAACAAACTGTTTTAATTATACCCTTAGCCGTATGGCTAATGTTTAGGCCTTCTAAAAATATTCTTTAAAAAATCCAGCCTTTTTAAACCTCGAAAAATATTATTTAAAACTAGCATATGCCCTCTACTTCGTTAGCGAATGCGGGAAATATTTAAACATGTATTGACATATTTTATTTTCACAGAAAACTGCATATGTCAGAAAAAAAACTAAACAATGCACAAATTAATATCGATCATAAATTTAATTTGAGTGTCAAATTTCATGATTCGATCTCTAAATCCAAATTTTACCAAATTTAGTTCCATTCCATATCACACATTATTTCCATAAGTACCCTTCTCAACCATCCAACAAAACTTCCTGCATACCCCGATCCTACACCCCCCACAATAATTTCAAATTTCAGGATTCCAACTCTATTAGTTCACCCACAATTCAAATTGTATTAAATTTAGTACACAGTAGAAAGAATTTCCAAAACCTCCTTCTCATCCCAAACCTTCACCCCTACAGTTATCCAAAATTCAAGTTTCAGGATTCCAACTTTATCGGTTCACCCACAATTCAAATTGTACGAAATTTAGTGCACAGTAGTACGAATTTCCAAAACTACCTACGTAACCCAAACCTTCACCCCACAGTGAACCCAAATCCAATTTTCACGATTCCAACTCTATCGGTTCACCCACAATTTAAATTGTACCAAATTTAGTACACAGTGGTACCCATTTCCAAATCTTCCTACATACCCCAATCCTACACCTTTATAGAGATCCTAAATCAAAATTTCGAGATTCCAACTCTATCGCTTTACCCACAATTCAAATTGTACCAAATTTAGTACCAATAGTACTAATTTCCAAAAATTCCTACATATCTCAATCTTACACCTCAACAGTGATCCTGACTCCAAATTTCATGATTCTAGCTCTATTGGTTCACCTAAAATTCAAATTGTACCAAATTAAGTACCATTTAGTACCCATAAGTATTAATTTCTTAATCAGAATCCTGACCCCAATCCCACACCCCTACAGTGATCCTAACTTCAAATTTCATTGTTCCCGCTCTATCGGTCCACCCTAATCCAAATTGTACCAATTATAGTACAATTTAGTACTTTTCGTACACATAAGAAAAAAAAAATCCCAATCCTACATTTCGACGGTAATGTTTTTTTCAAATTTTAGGATTCAAGCTCGATTTTTATCTCCAAATGAAATTTGTGCCAAATATAGTACCATATAGTAATTTTCGTACACATGAGTACACGCTTTCAGAACCATCTCTTTAAATAGACCATACATCGCAACCCTAATTCGCATTCCAAATTTCAAGTTTTTAGCTCTATCCATTCACATGCTACAAAGTTGTACTAAATTTAGTACATTTTAGTACTTTTCGCATCCTTATAGTTCGAATGTTCAAAAAAACCTTTTTCTATATCTTTTCGACACTCCATCCGGTTCGCCAAATACAAATGGTATCACATTTAGTACTTTTCGTACCGTTCTAGTACTAATTTCCAAAAAACCCAGCCTTATCTGTCACCATTGGACCAAGAATGACCCTCACCCAAAATTTCAAGATTCTTGTCGTTTTGTCTGGACGCTGATGAATCGTTAAATCAGTCAGTCAATCACTTTACTCTTTTATTAGCATAAATTAAATTTGTACCAAATATAGTACCATATAGTACTTTTCGTACATATGAGTACACGCTTTCAAAACCATTTCCTTAAATAGACTCTACATCTCAACCCTAATTCGCATTCCACATTTCAAGTGTTTAGCTCTATCCATTTACATGCTACAAAGTTGTACTAAATTTAGTACATTTTAGTACTTTTCGCGTACTTATAGTTCGAATGTCCAAACAACTCTTTGCTATATCTATTCTACACTCCATCAGTGACCCTCATTTAAAATTTAAGAGTTCTAGCTCTACCGGTTCGCCAAATACAAATGGTGTCACATTTAGTACTTTTCGTACCGTTCTAGTACGAATTTACTAAAACCCAGCCTTATCTGCCACCTTTGGACCAAGAATGACCCTCGGCAAAATTTCAAGATTCTCTCCTCAGCCTCACTTTACTCTTCTATTAGTATAGATAATGCTTGTATATATTTTTAATTTATCTCTTATTTTTCATTCCAGGTTTTTATGAATTATATACGCTCGTATTTCCGTATGATGACAATCGAAAACGATATACAAATTATTTCAAAATATGGCAGGCCCGCCGATAACGATCAATATATACATTTTGGAATTATCCTCATCTCTCAATCATAAAATTCCCCAAAGAAGAATTACAATAGAATATAGTCCAAATAAGAGGGCTAAGTTTATAAAATTTAAAATTTATATTTAATATAATTTTTAAATGTATGTATATATTTTTTACAAAGAATATTGAATAAAAAATAAAGAATAATGAATTTACTAAAAATACTATTTGTTTTTATTTACGGAGATACAACAAATATGGTAAGTATACATGCTTCACACCCACCCCCCTCAACGCATGCGACATAATATGTGTGATGACGTCACAATTTTTCATTCACCTGGTAGTATGCATTTTTTGCGCAAATTTGACAAAAATACCAGGCGCCCAGAAAAAAATAGAAAGTAGCCCGCAAAAAAAAAAAATTAAAAAAAATTGCATCTGGCAATGCCGTACAAAAAATTACAAAATTTGTAGCATACTTTTAGGCGCTCGAATTTTTTTCGCATGTAGGGTGTTGCCAGACCAAAATTTTTCGATTTTTTTTTTTGGCGGGCAACTTGCTACTTCATTCTGGGCGCCTGGTATTTTTGTGAAATTTGCGCAAAATTCCACCAAATTTTTGGAATTTTTTTTTCAAATTCATTGGGAGCCATTATTGTTACCAAGAAACTACTATAGTGAACCCCCACTAAGAGATTTTTTTTAGACGTCCATAAATAGACACACATTTTTAGTATTTTTTTAAATCTGTTTATTTGTTTCATATTTCAATAAACGAAGAAGGTACATAAAGAAATAACTCAACTACATACACTATTTACTTAATAATAGTACTTAATACAATGGTTGTGTAGAGGAACAAATCGATGAACGATGGCAGCTGGTGCTCAGCTCGATATTTTCTTTCAGAAATTGCTCAAACCTACCAGGCATCCAGAACAGGTAGATAGAAAATTTAACTAATTGGCAAACTGCAGGCTTTTAGCTTTGTAACATGTACCAGGTTTCGGAATATTCGGAAGAACATTTTTGGGCTCATATCAGGAAATAGATTTTAAAAAATTCAACACAACTGATGTGGTAGTCCTTAAAAAAAGATGGCTGTTTTGGGGACCAGACATGGGTGTGGATTCATTAAAAATACCAGGGACTGCAAATGTAAGTGGGTCTCAGGGCTGTCTTTCCTGACCTGTAAGGTATCATAATGGAGTAAAAAATTGGCAAATGTTATTTCGAAAACTTAGTTAAGGTGTGATTTTTGAAGTCTGAAGCTAGAATCTTGAAATTTTGGGTGAGGGTCACTCTTGGTCCAAAGGTGACAGATAAGGCTGGGTTTTTGGTTAATTCGTACTAGAACGGTACGGAAAGTACTAAATGTGCTAGAGCTAGAACTCTGAAATTTGGATTGGTGGTCGCTGATGGAGTGTAGGATAGGTGTAGCAAAGGGTTTTTGGAAATTCGAACTAAAACTATCCGAAAAGTATTAAAATGTACTTAATTTGGTACAAATTCGTAGCATCTGAATGGATAGAGCTAAAAACTTGAAATGTGGAATGCGAATTAGCGTCGAGATGTAGAGTCTATTTAAGGAGATGGTTCTGAAAGCGTGTACTCATGTGTATGAAAAGTACTATATGGTACTATATTTGGTACAAATTTAATCTATACTAATAAAAGAGTAAAGTGATTGACTGACTGATTTAACAATTCATCAACGCCCAGACGAAACGGCTAAAGCTATAGTCTTGAAATTTTGGTCCATATGTGACAGAATAGTCTGGGTTTTTAGAAATTCGTACTAGAACTGTACGAAAAGTACTAAATGTGATATCATTTGTATTTGGCTAACCGGTAGAGCTTGAACTCTGAAATTTGGATTGGTGGTCGCTGATGGAGTGTAAGATAGGTGTATCAAAGGGTTTTTGGAAATTCGAACTATATCTATCCGAAAAGTACTAAAATGTACTTAATTTGGTACAAATTCGTAGCATGTGAATGCATAGAGCTAAAAACTTTAAATGTGGAATGCGAATTAGGGTTGAGATGTAGAGTCTATTTAAAGAGATGGTTTTGAAAGCGTGTACTCATGTGTACGAAAAGTACTATATGGTACTATATTTGGTACAAATTTAATCTATACTAATAAAAGAGTAAAGTAGTCAATCATTGACTGATTTAACGATTCATCAACGCCCAGACGAAACGGCTAAAGCTATAGTATTTTAGGTGAGTGTCACTCTTGGTCCAAATGTGACAGATAAGACTAGGTTGTTGGAAATTTGTACTAGAACGGTACGAAAAGTATTAGAA